TGCCCTGAGGGCGGCGGCCGGGCGGAGAATAATGCACACTGGGTAAAAACACATTTATATACGAACCTCCGAGAAAATTTTCCAACAATTCCTTCGTCCGACCACCATGCACCAGGACAGGAAACAGCCGCCCGGCCCCCAAGCCCCGCAACACGCATACCCAGTATGAAGCCCGCCCCCAGCTTCCATTGGGCTGACACCGAGTCACTCGTTAGGCAGTTCCTGCTTGCCATTGGCTCAAATTTAGGTGACGCGAGAGACCAGCTTATCCCCGCCCCATTTTGGTGACGTCAGGCCGTCAGAGCAGCGTCGGAGTGGCTTGCCTGAAATGCGGAATCGAAGTTCCTGTGTCTGAGTGGTTGGCAGAACCGCTCATCCCAGATCGGCACCGCCTCGCTGGCAAGTGAATTATGCAGATTCCGGGGCCCCAGCGGGAGGCGCCATTTTGTAGCGAGGGAGGGAGGCTGGTCCTTGTGACTAGCCGGGAGGGAGAAGGGGTGACTGGCGCCATTTTCCCCACAGGGGCTAGGCGGTGATCTGGGCTCTCCCGGTGGGCTTACTGGAGCACGTTCTGGGGACGGGTTGCGCTTTGCCTAGCGATTGCGGAGCATCGCCCGGTTGGGAGGGAAGGGGTTGGGAGGGATAGGACAGGATGGGATGGATGCCTAGCAGCTCCCTGGGGGCTCCCGGTGTCAGCTGAGGCCTTTGGTCCTGGATGAGGGCTTTGCTTTCTGAGAGCTGCCGTATGCCAGTCCGCGACTGCCAACCCTCTCCGCGCCTGTCCAGTCTCCGGGGCGTCGACAGTCCGGCGGGAGGGTGAGCCTCCTACCCCTACCGAAGCGTCGGAGGAGCTTGGCAGCCCGGGATGGTTTGGGACTTTGCTGGGAGATTCTGCGGATCTTTGATCACTCCCGTGTTGTTCAGGTTTAGGATTTGAAGTCGTCCGTAACGCTCCTTTTTCACTTTATCTTTTGTATGTGTCGCGAATTAAAGGAAAGCCAAAAGGGTAGGGAAAGCATTGCCTCGGGTTCCCTGAACGTAGTGAGAGTGAATACATAGGTTTAGGCAATGATTTGTAGGTCTCCACCCCAATTTAAACTGCCCGGGTGGCTCGGTTGGAGCGTCCTGGACCCCGGTTCACCAAAAGGTTGCGGGTTTGATTCCCGGTCAGTGCACAAACCTAGGTTGTGGTCGATCACTGCCTGGCGCCTACCGGAGGCAACCGATCAGTTGTTTCTCTCCGTCTCCTTCCCTCCCTCTAAAACGTATCTTCGGGTGAGGATCTAAAAAAAAACAACCACCACCAAAAACACAAAAACTATCGAAAATACTAGCCATTTTTGGAGTATTTAGGAAGTTCATTTGCTTTGGCAGCCAGGCTGAGTTAAGATGAGATGAAAGTGCACAGACTCGAGGTTTGTTACATCGGCATTCAGGTGCAGAATTGAGTTAACGAGAATGCGAAGGCCCCCGTTGTTACAGGAGGTGCGCGTTCTGCCTGCAAAGATTGGAGAGAGCCGGATGATGTTAGATTTGGTGTCAGGCATTTCAGATGGTTATGAAGAGGCCAAAGGGGTAAATCTAAAGGAAGTTAAAAATAGCTAAGTGAGGATAATTTAAATGTCTTCATTGACAGTGGAGCCTAGTTTGAGAATTTAACTGGTACCTTATTTCTTGGTGGAACGTGGGGGGCATAATTGATGCCCAAACGCCATTCGAAGGAAAATAGGGATTTTGAGTTTCATTTGAATACTATTACTTAGACATTGAAATAAGTTATTTTTTTTTTTTTACTCCCTTATAAAGATGAAAAATGTGACAAAAATTGGATTAGGTTATTTAAACTGGAGGAATTGACTCATTTAAAACAGCTTCATACCCAATGCATAGATTCCTTTTGTCATACGGGAGTACAATATAAGAATTCAAATGAAAAACAAGGTGTACTTTTTAAAAAGGTGTTTTAATTTATATTTTCTGAGCCTTCCAGGTGTTATAACTGTATTTGGTAATCAGAAATGTTACTAAACCCTGGTGGGGGGCGGGTAGCTCAGTTGGATAGTGTTCTGATAACGCTAAGATTGCCCTGTTCCATCCCCCATCAGGGCACATACAAGAAGCTACCAATGAATGCATAACTAAGTGTGGAGCAACAAATCAATGTTAAAAAAATGTTATTAAAAGGATCAGAATGTTTGATGCAGTTCAGCTATTATTACTAAGTCCCATGCCTATAGACTATTCCTTAAAACACTAACAATTTTTATATTACCCTTTATTTATTTATTTATTTTTTAATATTTTATTGATTATTTACAGAGAGGAAGGGAGAGGGACAGAGAGCCAGAAACATCGATCAGCTGCCTCCTGCACACACCCTACTGGGGATGTGCCCGCAACCAAGGCACATGCCCCTGACCGGAATCGAACCTAGGACCCTTGAGTCCGCAGGCCGATGCTCTATCCACTGAGCCAAACCGGCTAGGGCTTATATTACCCTTTAATTGCAGATTGCAGTCACAGGACATTTTTTTTTTCTTTTAGTCCCCCTTTTTAAAAAATTTAAAATTACAGTTTACATTCAATATTATTTTGTGTTAGTTTCAGGTGTACAGCATAGTGGTTAGCCAATCATACTTTACAGTGTTTCTCCTGGTATTTACATTACCCAACTGGCAGCATGCATAGTTATTGCTATATTTATTATTGACTATATTTGCTATGCTGTATTTGACATCCTCATGACTATTTTGTAACTACCAGTCTAATCAATCCCTCCCACCTTTTACAGCATCCCTCAACCCCTTTCCCTTATGGCAACATGAATCTGTTCTATTTCTATGAGTCTTTTTCTTTTTTTTAAAATTGATTTCAGAGAGGAAGGGAGAAGAGAGAGAGAGAGAGACATCAATGATGAGAGAGAATCATTGATCGGCTGCCTCCTGCATACCCCACATAGGGGATCAAGTCCACAACCCGGGTGTCCTGACCAGGAATTGAACTGTGACCTCCTGGTTCATAGACAGATGCTCAACCACTGAGCCACTGCAGTTGGGCTATGAGTCTGTTTCTTTTTTTCTTTCTTTCTTTTTTTTTTTTTTTTTTATGAGTCTGTTTCTTATAGGACATCTTTGCATCCCCAGAACTGAGTAATTGTAAAAATTAAATGGTGGTGGTGGATAGGATGCTGTAATTCTAATCTGATTCAGAGAGAAATCTTAATTCTGATTTTGTCACAGGTAATGGAACTTTGTGTTAACAGTACTTACCAGTGACTATAGAGTTCAAATGTACAAAGTATTCAAGGTGATCCATAAGCTTCATATTTTCCCCAAATCACTTCCTGTCGCTTATATCTTGATTTAATGGCTTGGAAATATTTCACTTCCAACCAATGCGAGTCCAGGCTCTTAAATAAAGCTGGACCATTTGGTCAATTTTTTCAGTAGGCTAATTTATCACTAGCCTGCTTTAAACACTATTACCATCATGTCTTTAAGAACATTTCAGTAACAAAACTTTCTGGAGAATTGGTTGAATTTGGCACATTTCTACAATGATAACCATTAAAGTATTATCCTATAAAGGATAATATGCAAATTGACTGAATGACAGAACAACCGGTCGCTATGACATGTACTGACCACCAGGGGGCAGATGCTCAACGTAAGAGCTGCCCCCTGGTGGTCATTATGCTCCCACAGGGGGTGCGCTGCTCAGCCAGAAGCCAGGCTCACGGCTGGCCAGCACAGTGGTAGTGGGAGCCTCTCCAGCCTCTGCTGCAGACGGACATCCCCCGAGGGCTCCCAGACTGCAAGAGGGTGCAGATCAGGCTAAGGGACATCCCTCCCCCCCAGTTCACAAATTTTGTGCACCAGGCCTCTAGTTATCTATATAAAAGGCTAACATGCTGTGTCCCCTCGGGAGTTTGATTGCTCTATATGACTTGCGCTGACCACCAGAGGACAGTGCCAAGCGAAGGAAGGCCCTGGCCGGCAGCCAGCAACTGGGGAAGGAAGGCCCCGGCTGGCCGCTGGAAAGCCTCAATCAGCCCTGATCACTGGACAGGCCTAGGGACCCTACCCGTGCATGAATTTCATGAACCAGGCCTCTAGTATGTGTAGAAAAAATAAATGCATTAAATCCTTAAAAGTATCTCTGGGATTACTTGGGTTTATTAAATTAGTTTTGGAATAAATTTGAATATTTTTAAGTCATGGATTTGTAGATTTTTAAACACTCAAGAATTTTATTTTAATTAAAATCTTTATTTCTGAAAGTATTACATATGTCCCCTTCTTTCTCCCATTGATCCCCTTCAGCCCACCTCCACCTCAGGCCTTCACCACCCTATTGTCTGTGTCCATGGGCTATTCATATATGCATACAAGTTCTTTGGTTGATCACCTCCCACCCTCCCCTGCCTTCCCTCTGAGATTCCCCCACTCTGTCCCATGCTCCCATGTTTCTGAATCTACTCTGTTCATCAGTTTATTTTGTTAATTAGATTCCACATACGAGTGAACACTCAAGAATTTTAAACCAAACTAGTAGCTTGCTCTGCATAGGTAGATGTGGCTGTAAGTGTATCACTTGTCTCAGAATCTGTTGCCTCTTCTGTAAGATAAAACCACTTAGGCATGGTGTGATTAGCAGGATATCTGAGAAAGCAGGTGAATAAATGTAGCTCAGTGCCTATCAGAGATGCACTCAAGTACAATGGAACCTCAGTTTTCGAACTTAATTCGTTTGGGAAGGCTGTTCAAGAAGCGATTTATTTGAAAACTGAATCATTTTTCCCCATTAGAAATAATGTAAATTGAATTAATCCTTTCAAGACCTCCAAATGATACCTTGTTTTAACCTTTCTTATGTACTGTTTAATCTATAAATAAACACTTCTTTTCTTAAATTTATCAAACCACTCCCTACTAGCCTTAGACAAAATTTTCATATATCACTGCTTCCAAAATATTATCCCCGGCTAACCGCTTTTCATTCATTCATTTCATTCATTTATTTATTTAAATAATTTTTATTTCTTGAAGTATTACAAAGAGTATTACATATGTCTCCTTTTTTACCCCCTTGACATTCCCCCGGCCTCCCCTTCCCCCTTGTGTATTTTGTCCATTGGTTATTCCCATATGCATGCATACAAGTCCTTCGGTTGATCTC